CTTCTGGTGCACCCTGCTAGCTCTTCCCTTTCAGGATAATTAGTACTATTTATAATCTTTTTAGTCTAGGTCTATTAGATAAACAACTTAAGTTTTGAATCTTTTTTTTTTGTCAGATATATGAGGTATGTTGTTAGATTTTGCATAAACCCATTATTTGAAAAAAGAACAAAGGAAAGGAAGATAAATTGTAGACTGAATGAAGAGCTGAATAAGTGTAAATATTGTTGTATGAGATCTAAAGAAATTTAAAATATGTGTTTCCATTCATATTTTCACCTCTCCCAGGTAACTGGCAACCTACCATACATTTTCAGCTTCAACTGTTTGAAGTGTGTGTGTGTATAGATTGAATATTTGTTAATGTTTGCCCGCTATAATTAAGAGACAAAGTTGTGTGTCGGTGTACCTGTCTTTGTGTGCGCATAAGTATGTGTGTGAGTGCTTATGTTTGTGTGTGTGTTTGGTAATTGGCTGTATATTAAAGATAGTTGTGATCCTGCCCTCTCTAACACAGCAATAAAGCTCACTTAGAGTGTTTTATTAAAAACAGCCAGCGAGAGGGGGGAGAAGAAGGGATGAGGCGGCAGAGACGTAACAACACAAAAATATTGGACTTTTTCCTGTATCATTTTTTGTCTTTAAAAAGTCCAAATGACCACTCAAATTGGGTAGTGCATCATTTTCTGTCATGCAGCTGAAAGCGTGGCAGACAGTTCTAATTCATCATTTTGGTGATTTAATAGCTGAGAAATATATTAAAATAATAAAATGTGGGCTGAAATGCCCTGGATTTGCAGTGATAAATAGCCCTCTCTGGCCTGATCGGATTAGTTGCACTAACAGATATATTGCGGTCAGGATTCACGCAGGCACGCACGATTGTTTTCCAATAAAAAGTTGCATATTAAATTCCAACACAGAAAAGGAGGGGAGAGGCCCTTCTATCTACAAACCCTCCAGAAAAAGAGATAGAGGGGAAAACGAGAGAGATGAATGTAGAGAGGGAATAAGGGATTTTAAGTGTTACACCGATACCATCCGGAGATATATTGCCAGAGCCGAACCACCACAGCCGATAAGTAAGCTACTTAAACTTATTTATCTGGACATTTATAGCAAATTCTCACACATACATAATTCCTCATGCTCAGAGAGTCATATTAGCATGCTCACAAGCTCATAAACTTTCATTTAAACTCTCTCTCGCTCCCTCCCTCCTTCCGTATCCCGGAGGAAAACATTTGGAGTCTCATTGTCCTTCGACTCATCAGGAAGTGCTTGGTTGTAATTAATTAGCTCATTTGTTTATGCAAATGTCTGCAATTAAGTCATATTGTTTGTTAAAGAGATAATTTTCTAAATAAAAAAAATGCCCTGTATCTGAGAGCAAATGATGTTTGTCTAATTAAGCACATTAGTCCAAATTTGTAATTAACAGCGCATAATTAGGTGGGAAGATATCCTGTTTATGCGTGACGTCATCAGGGGTTTAAATGCACAGAACGAGAGTCCGACAGACAGATGGGCAGGTAGACTGAATCGCAGACGGATGAGGAGAAAAAAAAACAGACAGCAAGGATAAAAACGGGTGAAAATCAGACTATATCCAAGGGACAATGTGTGGGAGAAAAATACACAAACATGTGGATTCGTAAAGTCAACAATCTTTAAATTTTCCCATTACCCTTTCGGACGGAAAAAAAATATCTGTTTCACATTTAATCTAATGTTTTCCATTGCAATCAGCGTCTGCATTTGCTGTGATCTGCACCCAAAATATATGTGTGTGTGTGTGTGTGTGTGTGTGTGTGTGTGCGTATTTATTTATGTGTGTGGGTGTGTATGTGTGAAACACGATGGAGGGAAGGTGTTCGGGGTCAAAGCGGTTGAACATTAAAGGGTTAAATCTCTTTCATTATTACTCCCCAAATCGACCTGGGGGGATGCAAGGAGAACTGATTAGAAAGGAGAGAGGAGGAATGAGAAAGCTAAAGAGAGATGAAGACAGAGGGCAGAGAAAGAGAGAGATCTCAAAACAGTCCGATATAAATCATAACAATCATAACCTCAGGGCATGTCATGATAAAGAAGAGAAGGAAAGAGACAGAGAGAAAGAAAGAAAAGTGAGGGACACTATACAAATACAACCACAATGTACAGCCACAGGAATTGTTGTGATGCTTATTTGTTAAAATGTGAGGGCTTGTATATTATGATTATTGTTACAGTAGATATGAATTGAGAAGGCCCAAATGTGTGGACGTAATAAAATTGTTAGTTTGTTTTTTTTCCTTTACAAATACAATGCATGACTAGAGCATTCAAGAAGGATTCAAAAGAAAAGTAGCCTGTATGACTCATATAAGTCTTTTGAAATCATACTTTGTGTGAGAAACAGATCTCAATTTAAGTTATTTACTAAAAATCTTTATATCCGCCCTAAGAGTTAATTAGATTTTTTTCAAATTCATATTCAAATCAATCACTCTAAAAAAAGAGGTTGTTTACATATTTATAACCATATTATCCTGAAGAAACCTTCCATGATGAAATGGTTCTTTTTGATTCCCAGACTTTTTTTTAAAATCTGTAACTGTCAAAAATGTATTCAATGCAAACTCTTCATTGATTTTTTTTTTAGAGAGATCATATAACAACATCCAACTACTCAGACTGTCAAAGCACTCTCAACAGGTACTTGATATCCTTCTTAAAATGTTTATGAACTTTAACTTGCAAATTGTAATAATAAAGTACAATAATAAAGGTTCCAAAAGGAGTTTTTGCAGCAGTTATATAAGAACCATTTTGGGTTCCCCAAATAACCTTTCAATGAACAGTTCCTAAAACAGCCATTGTTTTCATAATGTGAAGGACATTTTAATAATCTGAAGAACATTTTTCCATAAAGAACTTTTGTGCAATGGAAAGGTTCCACGGATGTTAAAAGTTCTTAATGAAACCAAAAATCCCAATAAATAACCTTTATTTTTCAGAGTGTAAGTGTGGACAACTCTGTTCAGCTGAGGATATTTCTCACCTCTTCTCTACTAAGCAGGCAAATGACAGACATATTAAATTTATGATCCATATTGTTAGAGTTTTCAATTACTTGAGTTTATGTATAAACATAACCAGTCAGAAAAACCCATGCCTATCCCATGTCTTTGTAATGCAGTACCTAACCTGGTATATACATTTTGTTTTTAAAAGAATTCCTTTTGAGTTTGATCCTTTCATGAAATCATTTCAGATTCCTTTCACAAATGCAGACTGAATGATCTGTTAATGAATCAAATTCATTCGGTTCAAGTTTAACTCACTCAATCATTGATTCATTGCAGCAGTTAACAGCTCACTGAAAAGAGGAACATTATCAGTGACTTAAATTTCAGTTTGTTCCTTGCACACATCTCTGCTATGGCTTCAGAAGACATATTTTTAATCGTGGATTTATGATGTATGCTGTACATTTATTATTTTTGCTATGTAATGTACATGTAGGCCTATGTTTTCTGTATGTACGCTATGCGCACATAAAAGTAGGCCTTGTGTGTTCATGTTTTTGCCGTTTTTATGCGTCAGGGGGAAACGTCTAAGAGAGGGCTGAAATGAGTAGTCTATCTCTAGCCTAATGACCTTCTAATCTGTAGCATTTATGAAGAACATTAGTCTCTTTCTCTCTCTCTCTCTCTTTCACTCGATCTCTCTTCCCACCTCTCTCTCTCTCTCTTGCTAAGAAAGGCTAATTAAAATAGCCATTTGGCAGCCTAGCGTCCTAATTGCTATTCCCATCATTGCTGGTCGATTGGGAGGAGATAGAGAGATAGAGGAAGGGGAGAGAGTGAGGAAAAGAAAAGATGAGCGAGAATAAGATTGATAATGAGATAACGAGTCATTAGAAGCATACATTAGTGAATACAGCCCAGGCCTAATGTCCCCTCAATCAGTTAGAGCTCTCTCATCCTTGCCTGCCTTCTTTTTTATCATTCTGTCCCCGCATGTGCTTCCAGCCATCTCCTGTCTTATATCTGGAGAAAATGATGTCCTCCTCTGGCTGGTAAAGAGAAAGTGCTGTGGTCAGGTTTGTGATCATCTTACTTTTAGATCATTTTTGCTTTAATGAAACCATGGCATTTTGATGGTTTATAAAAAGCACCAGGCTGATGTAAAAGAATATAGGATATAATCTGATTTTGGATTGCAAACTGATTCCAAGCAATACTTTGAATATATCCATTGCGCCATCTTCTGGTGATCTGCAGCAATGTAAATGCGTTTTGAAACGAAACCTGCTGATTTGGACTTTGATAAGCGCGTTTATTTTGAGCATTTGTTATGCATTACATTGTTAATTAACCATGTTTTGCACAACGAAAATGTGGATGGTTACAATCAAATTGTTTAATTGCTGGAGATACAACATAGCTTTGAAACTGCATGTCACATCCTGAACAGGCTGACTAGCTTAGACAACTTGGCTTAAACCGTTCACATCTTGCTAAGAGTTACAACCTTTTTTTTTTTTTTCCAATTGCACATAAATGCATTGTGTGCAAAACGGGGATTACTTAAAGGATTCCAGGAAGGGATCTGCACTTAATCACCAACATACAGTTTAGTTGGCAGGGAATTACAAGAGCTCAAGAAATGGGAGGAGAGAATTAAAGGCAAAGAAAGAAAGAAAGAAAGAAAGAAAGAAAGAAATAATACCATAGGGGTAGTGCAATTATTTGACGCAAAGAGTTTTTTATATACACAGCTTTAATTAAGTTTTTAGTTTTAGTAATTTGTGTACTTTATTTATTTCAGTTAGTTGCCAAGGCAACATTTCTAAGCTTTTCATCTAATCTTTATATTTTATATTATTTCAGCTTTATTTCAGTTACCAAAAACAATTTTAATACTTTTAGTTAACAATAACACTAGGGGAAGGATATTGAAGAAAAAAAACAATAAAAGAAAACTGAGAAAAATATAATAAAGAAGAATTAAGTACATAGCTCTCTGGATTCCTTGCCTATTTACTAAATTCTTTTGCTTGCTCTTAGTTTTGGAATGGGAATATTATTGCTGTCTTTCAGAGCATTAATGCTCTCTTTCAGCCTCTTACTGCCTTCCTTTACACCTTTTTTGTTGCCATCTCTCACTGCCTTGTTTGCCTCTCTTTTCCGTCTTTGTATCCATATTGTGTAGACACCTCCCAGAGTCAGCAGAAGTAATGCAGCTACATCTAGACAGTAGTAGGAGTACACAGACATGTTGTAGGCCTCAGCACGTAGATGGGGTGCACCTTTATTGCGCAGGACAAACTCGATCCAGTACACTGCTTTGTCGAGAGGATGCAGAGGCCGGTCTTGATGTAAACTGGAGAGCTTCTGCATGTTCTGACGATATGTTGGGTTCCCTAAGATATCTCTCAAAGCTTCAAGAAACTCTTCTGTGGTACAAGTAGATGCCTCCAGAATCCGTGCCACCCCTCTTGCCTGAAGACGTACAATGTTATCTAGCTGGTCAAATAGCAAATGGAGTCCCAGAACTGGCACCCCATGATAGATGGCTTCGTATAGACCATCCGTGCCCCCATGAGCCACGAAAGCACGGGTCTTTGGATGGCCCAGCAAGTCGTTCTGAGGTATCCATTTAAGCAGTAGGGTGTTATTGCCCAACGATGAAGGTCTCTCTCCAATAAACCTCCACACCACCTTCTGCGGCATGCAAGCAAAAGCTGTGGCAATGGCCTCCATGACCTCTCGGGGCAATCCTGCAATCAGTGTTCCCAGAGACATCACGATCACACCATGGTCTCCTGAGCTCTGCATAAACTCCTCCAGCTCGTCAGGGAGAGGATTGGCCGGACGACACTGGAAGCCGCCAATATAGACGAGGTTTGGCATGGAGGGTCGTGGGAACTCGAACACAAAGTCTAAATGGACAAGCCACAGCTCCGCCGAACGTTGCATGGCAAGGAGGTCAGCGCCAGGAGGGAAGTAGTTGAGCAACAAGCTGGAATACATGGGCATCACCAGCCAGTGCTCTTGAATGAGGTTCAACCCATAATGTAGAAGGTTACGGGTTCTTTCTAACAAACCCATTCGGTCTGTTAGGCCTGAGCCGGGCACAGGCACGTAGGATATGGGAGAAGGTGCGATGGAGAAGTGGCCTTCTCCGAAACTCATCCAACGGACGTTATAGACCATTGGAAGTTGGAGGTGTTGTGCCAGAATGACCCCACCAGGTATGGCAGGGTCAGTGAGCATCAAGTCATAGTTCGCCATCTTTATTTGTGTCATCAGATCTTTGTTCTCCAGCATGGTGGTGAGCATGGCACAGTTTGCAGTGTGAGCAACCTTTATGATGCCAATAAATTCTGACATCTGGACCAGCAATCCCATCATTGGGCACTTCCTGCGGGCCTCAAGAATCCTTTGGACTGCGTTCTCGAACAGGTCCAGGCCTATGTATTTCTTTTTAAGCTTCACTGTAATTGAGGTGTAGTAAGGTGAATTCTCCTGAATGAACCAGCTGTCCGTCAGGCGAATCACACTCAGCTCGTGTCCATGAGAGTGCAACTTCTTCACCAGCACCTAGAGAGCAGTAATACAGTGTACAGTGTACTACAGCATCGTACTAAGCGAGCTAAATAGATTTTCTGTTTTGCAAGCATTTTATTTTTGTTTTGTTTTTCCAGCAAATTTCAGTGTTTTATCTCTGGCACATGGAAGCCAGTTTTCACCCAACATTTTTCAATTGTGACTTTACATCTCACAATAGTTACTTCAAATTTTGCAGTTGATTGTGACTTTAATTTGTGTTATTGCAACTTTATATCTCACAGATGCAACTTTATTTTTCTTAAAGGGGTCATATGATGTTGCTAAAAAGAACATTGTTAGAACGAGCCGTTTTAGGCGTGGTGGACTCTTAACTTTTATAAAGAATATCTCTTTGGATTTGAGACTTTAGTCTTTGCAACTTTACAGATCTTCTTTAAGCACCAAGAGCTTGTAACACTCCAAAGAGAAAGGAAAAATTAAAATCGCATCATATGACCCCTTTAAAGGAATAGTTCAAAAGTGAAAATTCATCTACATCTTAGATAGCCTGAGGGTGAGTAAAGTTTCAACAAACCTCCATTTTTGGGTGAACTATTCCTTTAAATTACTTTTTTGTTTTTACTTTGAGGTGAAAACAGGCTTCCACTCCAGCAACAGTGAACTTTGCTGAAATAGTACAATCTTTTTTTCTTTTTTTTTTAAACTGACTGTTCCTGCATATTCAAATCAGTACCTCCATGTTCACCCAGTGACTGCCATCAACAGGGAAAACCAGGATCTTATCTCCATTATAACCACAGGGTAAAGAGAGAAGGAGGGATATCCAAAGGAAAACGAGGGAAATGTATCCACACATTTCTCTTTTTTCTCTATCTCAAAATAACAAAAATAATTCCTTTCTAGTACAAACATTTTTTACACATTTAAAATGGACTAAAATGTTCTCTTATGTATAAGTAAATATATAAATATATGTTGAATAAATGAAAACTATGCAAGTTAAATGTCACTGTAGAAATAGTTTGTTTAGGTTACATACCTCAGTTGAGTCTTCTTTCAGTCCCACAAAAATGTTGCTACATAAAAGAAAAAGCTTTCACACAGTCTCTGAAGGGAGAGAGATTCACTTCCCATAATGCCTCTTTTATTTTGTTGTGAAACATTCCTTAGCCCCAGTTTTTCCTGTCCAGCATTATATTCAAAATGAACTGTGCTGTGCAAATGTTGAATTGCACAAACGCTTTCACATTTTAAAGTCAGCAATTTATATACTACAACTTCACTTACAATTAAATCATTTAGTTTCCGGAAATCTCATTCTATTACCATTTTTGAAGCACATTGCATGTATTTATTCCTGTAAACAGTTTCTCAGTTTTCTTCAGATATGAGTTGTGCTCACTTCTACTACTAGTTATTCACAGGCAAGATCACTTTAAAATATTTAATCAAGAATCATCAGAGAATAAACAATATAAAGATGCAGATACTTTCTAAATGCACCCATGCCATTCAGACAAAATCATATATATTAATTATGCAGGTTAGGTATTACACTATAGATCAATTAGTATAGTCTATAAATATGGTGTCTATAAATTTATGTCTATCATCATTATTTAAATGAGATGCAAGTAGCAGTCCTTCTATTTAACAAATGTTGTGATAGACGGAATTGGTGCCATCTGAACTACAGGAGCAACTGGTGCCGCACCGATCACTCCAACCGACTGCTGTGAAGTGATAACTTGTGTGGTGGTTGCCATTGGAATGGGCTGAATCACTGGATGTGTGGTCACTACAGTGACAGTTTGCTTGCGTGCTTTGATTTCTCTACTCATCTGACACCACGAACACCAGATACAACAGCAAGTCACCATGATGTCCTCACAGATACTGCCCTGTTACAACACATACAAACAATGATTGTTTTGTAGCCCTCTTTGATTCCGGCTTTCATTGGTAGAGGGAAAGGAAAAACTCACCCCAATATCGTATTTGTGGCGAACTGCCACCCTCATTCCGAGAGACACAGGCGGCACACATACTGGAACCCCAAAAGCCGCCATGATACCTGGGCCGAATATGTCCAGCAGAGGCAGACAGGTGCTCTCCCCAAAATCCCCAGTGGTGGTGCAGGTAAAGCAAGGAAAGCACCAGAACCCATAGCAGCCTGAGGACCAAAAAATGCTTTAACACTTTATTTTAAGGACCAATTCTCACTATTAACTAGTTAGCATGCATATTTCTAGCACATTAGAACTTATAAAGCACAAATTAATGCCTTGTTCTACATGACCATATTTTAGATCCCTTAAACATACCCCATACCTAAACTTCACAACTACCTTACTAACTGTTAATAAGCAGCAACTTAGGAGTTTGTTCAGGGAAAAATCTTAGTTAATAGTGAATGTGTGTTCCCTAATCTAAAGTGTTACCAAAAATACACATAATGTGAAATTATAATTTTTAATGAACTGTAAAAATGGACCTTTAAGCATACTTACAAGAATTCATGTCCTGGCAACAGTCACATATTCCTGAATTCCAGCCGCTCTTTTGAGGTGTCTGCACAATTACAGTCGTCATAGATTGTAAAGAATGTTGTTATATTTTGTATAATCTAACGAGTTACAGACAGTCTATTGAATTTAGGTTTAGAAATTCAAGAAATTTTAATGAAATTATAATTTTTAATGAACTGTAAAAATGGACCTTTAAGCATACTTACAAGAATTCATGTCCTGGCAACAGTCACATATTCCTGAATTCCAGCCGCTCTTTTGAGGTGTCTGCACAATTACAGTCGTCATTGTGATTGGAATTTTCTGATATGGAAGGATGACAAAGAAAGGAAAGTTTCTCACTGATCCTAGTGATATATTTTATTTTAAACTACCATCTTAATTTGAACTTAAACGTTTACTGAAAATATGCACTGTAAACTGAATCTTACCAAAATAAATCAATAACTCATTACGTGCAATTTGAGACTCAACTCAAATTGATGAGTTTTCCGGAAAGCTTAGATTGTAAAGAATGTTGTTATATTTTGTATAATCTAACGAGTTACAGACAGTCTATTGAATTTAGGTTTAGAAATTCAAGAAATTTTAATTGGTTATTATTCTTTTAATATAAGTAATATTATTATTATTTCATACAGCAATGCATGTTGGGGACTATTGGACATTATTTTGTATGTGTTGGTAAGCATTCATGCCACCTTTTACCATATTCTTCAGAATGAAATGTTTGTTCAAATTACCCTGTATGGCAAGTTGTGTGTGTGTGTGTGTGTGCTCACGTTTTTGTGGCATATGAGGACACAAATTTGTATAATGACATGGGTATGACATAGGTATTACAAGGAGAAGTTGACTTATGAGGACATTACCTCATGTCCCCATTTTTCAAAACACTTATAAATCATACAGAGTGAGTTTTTTTGAGAAAGTAAAAATGCACAAAGTTTCCTGTAAGGGGTAGGTTTAGGGGTAGGGTTACAATTGCGCTCAGTCATTCATGTACTCATGATTGCATGTGGAAATCCCCATGAGGAAAACAGCTTATACTGTAAATCATACAGAATGTTACAGAATTGTTTTGAAAATCGGCAACAGTTTGTACAGTTTGTACAGTATAAAAACCATTACGCCTATGGAATGTCCCCACAATTCACAAAAACAGTGTGTGTGTGTGTGTACGTGTGCGTGTACGTGTGTGTGTGTGTGTGTGTGTGTGTGTTAATTCATTCTCTGAAGCAAACACAGTATCTACTGTAAGAAATGTCAAATTCAATCCAAAAATCTTTGTTAGCAACATGTTTCCACTAGCTGACCAAATTATTTTACTTTCAGTTAAAAAACAATTATATACCTTATCTCTGATGTAGCTGCCAATAATGCCTAAACCGGTTCCTCTGGGTTTGAGGACAGTGAATGTACATGAATGTAGAACAAAGATCATAAACACATCAAAACTGACAATTGCAAAGAACTGGCGAGGTTTCAGTTTCATTTATTTTAAAATATACCACTAAGTAAACCACTTATTATCTTCCCAATTATTCTGAGTTGTGTTCAGAGTTTTATCACTAAACCTTTCATTCAAAAATCATGTCATGAAATACTTTTTTTTTATTCAAAAGAATATGGAATTCAAACACAATTATAAAGAGAACTTGTATTTTAAACTTACAAAACAAAACAAACAAAAAAGAGAAAACTATTCATTCATATATATTCAATTTTGTGTAGCCTGCAGCTCTGTGTACATTCTGAAAACAAAATAAGACTATATCTTTCATATTCATCATACAGACAGATGATTTACTCTGCTGTGACTAATATATCATTATCAGTGTACACAAATGGAATAAATATAGCATTTAGCATCCAAGTAGTAGACAAACATTTCAAAAGACGAAACATAACAAATTGTAAAAACAATTATTTTATTACCCATTTTGACAAGTCACCTCATCACATTTTAAAAAGACACAGAGTGTAACTATACATTTGTTTTAATTGCTGGGGAAAAAAAGAAAAGAAAAGATAAGAAATGGCTTACTTACTTTCTAGCACTCCTTTTTCTGTCATAAGAAAGCAAAAGTGAGCGTATTTATACATGTGAGATTTCAAAGAAAACAATATAATTAATTAGCCACACGCACACGCACAAAAAGAAAAATGCAGCTAAACCTGAAGGCATGTCTAAAGAAGTGAGTAGGCCTGAGTAGAGAAAAGGTCTGTCTGATTCAACATGAATGGATGTGATGGAATCTCTCCACTTCTTTCTCATTGAATTCTACAAAAGAGACAGAAAATTGCACTGTTCCACATGTACGCTCATATACTTCAATGAAAAATGATATTAAATGATAGTGCCCAAAACATAACAGTATAAGAACAATAAATCATTTTTAATTAACATTTAATGACCATTGAATGTAAACTGTAATGTAGAGTTTAGCTTCTATTTGGCAAAATAATTTTACTGTAAAATAATTCTTAGCCCAAAGTTTTCCTGTTCACCATGATATGTGAAATATCTGTGCTATAATGTTATTAACTGTTGAATTGCAAACACAAACAGATTTAAATGGTCATACAGACAGATGATTTACTCTGCTGTGACTAATATATCATTATCAGTGTACACAAATGGAATAAATATAGCATTTAGCATCCAAGTAGTAGACAAACATTTCAAAAGACGAAACATAACAAATTGTAAAAACAATTATTTTATTACCCATTTTGACAAGTCACCTCATCACATTTTAAAAAGACACAGAGTGTAACTATACATTTGTTTTAATTGCTGGGGAAAAAAAGAAAAGAAAAGATAAGAAATGGCTTACTTACTTTCTAGCACTCCTTTTTCTGTCATAAGAAAGCAAAAGTGAGCGTATTTATACATGTGAGATTTCAAAGAAAACAATATAATTAATTAGCCACACGCACACGCACAAAAAGAAAAATGCAGCTAAACCTGAAGGCATGTCTAAAGAAGTGAGTAGGCCTGAGTAGAGAAAAGGTCTGTCTGATTCAACATGAATGGATGTGATGGAATCTCTCCACTTCTTTCTCATTGAATTCTACAAAAGAGACAGAAAATTGCACTGTTCCACATGTACGCTCATATACTTCAATGAAAAATGATATTAAATGATAGTGCCCAAAACATAACAGTATAAGAACAATAAATCATTTTTAATTAACATTTAATGACCATTGAATGTAAACTGTAATGTAGAGTTTAGCTTCTATTTGGCAAAATAATTTTACTGTAAAATAATTCTTAGCCCAAAGTTTTCCTGTCCACCATGATATGTGAAATATCTGTGCTATAATGTTATTAACTGTTGAATTGCAAACACAAACAGATTTAAATTGTAAAGTAATTTGTCTATATACTACATACAACCACTTCAATTACAATTAAATGCTTTAGTTTTTCACAAATCTCATCCTATTTCCATTTTTGAAGCACACACTGTAAACGTGAAAGCCGCATATAACTGTATTTATCCATTTATGCCTATACACAGTTCATCAGTTTTCTTCAAAGTTGTGCTCACGTCTGCTATTTAAGACTCAAAGTTATTAACAGACAAAGTCAAGAATCATCATTGTTGAAGAAAACAAGACTTCTAGAACAATTTACTCAGTTTTTATTAAATCATTAAAAAATAATCATTTGAATAAGTCTGATTCCATAAATCAAACAAGAAAAAAAATAAATACAAAAAATAAAAACTATAAGGTAAACAATATAAACATATTTTCCAAATGCACCCAATTCATTCCATTCACACAAAATCATTTATATTGATTAAACAGGTTAGCTATATGGATCACTTTAGACATTATTTAAGCGAGATGTGTGTGGCAGACCTGCAGTGGACTTCTACATAGCAAAAGGTGGGACACCAGTCTTAATTGGGCCCATCTGGACTGCAGGACCAGCTCCTAACGGTGCGGCGCCGATCACTCTTGGCTGCTGCATAGCGACAACTTGTGGGTTGACTGCCATTGGAACTGGTTGAATCATGGGATTTCTTTGCAATATTCTGACAACTTTTTTGCGTGCTTTGATTTCTCTACTCATCTGACACCAAGAACACCAGATACAACAGCAAGTCACCATGATGTCCTCACAAAGACTGCCCTGTTGCAACACATACAAACAAATGATTGTTTTGCGGCCCTCTTTCTTGTATCGGTAGAGGGACAGGAAAAACTCACCCCAATATGATACTTGTAGCGAACTGCCACCCTCATTGCCAGACCCACAGGCGGAACACATACTCCAATTCCAAATGCGGCCATGAGAGCTGGGCCGAATATGTCCAACAGAGGGAGACAAGTGCTCTCTCCAAAATCTCCTGTGGTGGAGCAGGTAAAGCAAGGAAAGCACCAGTACGCATAGCAGCCTGAGGACCAAAAATGCACATAATGTGATATAATTTGCATCTAATTCTAATGAACAGTAAAAAAAAAATGGATCTGTAATATTTATTATAAAGCCTTCAAGCATACTTACAAGAATTCAAGTCCTCACAACAGTCACATATTCCTGAATTCCAAGCTTCCATCCCAGCCTTGCCGAGAGGCTGCTGCACAACTACAGTCGCCATAATGACTTTATCTTACTGGTATGGAAAGATGACAAGAACGTTAAGGTTTCCCTGATCCTAGTGATATAATGTTATTTTAAACTACTCTCTGATTAAAATACTCACACCTAAGTAAATGGTTACTGAAAACCGGCACTGTAAACTGAACTTCTGCACTGATGATCACACTTAAGAAAAAGAAAAACAAGATATCGTATTACAAGCCATTTTTGGTGAAGACCCAACTAAAATGATTGAGTTTACTTAAGAAAGCTAAAGGAATTTAAAGAATTTAGTTACATTTTGTATAATCTAATGAATTATGGACAGTCTATTGAATTGAGTTTAGTAATGCAAGGAATTCGAGTTGTATGCAAATTCAAAAGCATGCATGCATGCATTGCAGTCACCTTTTGCAACATTGCTTAGAATGAAACTGTTCTAAACAGTTCTAACAACCCTGTTTGGCAAGTTCAGTGTTGGACAACATTTGAGGAAATACTGTTGATGTATGTTTTATGAAGGTTGAAAGTAACTCAACTTTGGAAACTAAAGTCAACTTAGATCCAGAAATCTTTGTTAGCAACGTGTTTAAAATAGTTTCCACTAGCTGACCCAAATATTTTATGCACACTTTAAGTTTTTCATAGTTCAAAAATAACTATAAAAAATAAGACCTTTACTCTGATGTATAACTACAAAGTTTTTTTAAGGCTTGTGAGGACAGTGAATGTATATGAATGTACAACAAAGATAATAACCATAAAAGAAATAACTGTAATCTATTTATCTATTGTCAAATTTCCAAATGAATGAATATCGTTCTATCAATTATTTGTTGTAGTGATCAGAATAATGTTTAATTATTAGATTTTTTTAATTCAAAAGAATATAAAATCCAGCATTGTAGAATGCTACAGAATTATAAAGAAAATTTAATTGTATACACACTCTGTGTACATTCCTAAAATAAAACAATTTCTTTCATATCCATTGTACTTACAGATGATTTACAGATGAGTCTGTTGTGACTAATATATGGTTTTCACATTTCACCCATAATTCATGTTCAGGGTGCATACAATCATATCAATAGTGTGAAATGATTTTGTGTTCAGGTTTGCAAAGTAATTTACAAAAAGAACATTAACTAATTAATAGTGTAGACAAATATAATAAATAGACAATTTAGCATCCGAGTAGTAGACAAACATTTCAAAAGAGGAAACTTTAAAATTCTAAAAATAAATTCTAAAAAAAAAAATTAAATAAATAAAAATCTAAAAGTTCTCACCTATTTTTCCAACCCTTGTCAAATAATTTAAAAAAAAAACAGAATGTAAATTATACATTTGGTTTAACTGCTGAAAAAAGAGTGAAACAATAAGAAATGGCTTACTTACTCGTTCTAGTGCAGCTGATCCTTTTTCTGTCAAAAGAAAGTCAAAAGTGGACATATTTATATATGCAAGATTTCTTTACTGAAAAAAAAACTGAAGCATAGAAAATATGCAGCCAAACCTGAAAACATGTCCAGTAAAGTGAGTAAAGGGAAAAAGGGGGTTGTGTTCAACGTGAATGGATGTGATTGAAATCTCTCCTCCCCTTGCTCTTTGCATTCTTACAAGAGAAACAGAAAATCAACAGTTCATGACACAGAGGTAAATGAAGGAGAATGTGGAACAATGACAAATAATATTAAAAGATAGGGCCCCATGTGTATAGAATCAATCAAAGATCAATATATAATGTTTAATTAACATTTAAAAAACATTGTATATAAATTAGAGGCAGTTTGTCAGCTGACCTATGGATTTGATACCAAATAACAAGTAAAGCCTTTTACTGTAATATCAACACAAGGAGCACAAAAATGTAATAAAATTAATTATATATATATATATATATATATAAATGGTACTAAAAAAAGTGAATGAGTTGGAGCATCATAAACAACAGATAAACTGCTGTTTCTCTGTTAAATGATGCTAACAAAGACAGGAATCTTAAAGTGAAGAAATCCAAAAATGAAAATTTTACTCACCCTCAGGGCATCCAACATGTAGGCGACTTTGACCCACTGTTGACTTCTGACAACATTGTTAGACATCATATTCAATTCAGCTATAAATCAGTTCATTAGTCTTTATTCAGCTTAATCCAATTCAAGTTTTCTTCTCATCTGATAGTGTCAGTGCCATCAAATCTATAATATGAATAATATGAATAATAATAATAATATCTAGGTGACAGTCGCACCTAGGGAACCCAAACCCCATCAGGTGACAGAAATGGAGGAAAGAAAACCTTGAGAGAAACCAGTCAGGCGACCAGTTCTCCTCAGGCCTAATTGAATGAACATGGTGTGCGTCACAAAAGACTGCATCACAGGTCAGATTGTTGGATTTATTTTATTTAATAAAACTCGGCATCAATCTCTTTCTGCTTGAAGACTGGGATAGGTTACGTCACACCAGAAGAGTTGTAGGCTATCCAGCAGATTTAAACATGAAGGTAGAGCTGCCATTTAGCTAGTAGTAGATGAAGTGGCCTAGTTTAGCCATAAATGACGTTCAAGATCTTCATTGGCGATATTGGGCAGCTGTTTTCTATACAATAAAAGTGAAGGAGAATGAATGCTGATAAGTTGAGAATGCTGATAAAAATGTGAAATAAGCACAGTAAAAGTACATGATATTTATGTATTCTGACTTTGAATATAGATTAAGTAAGAGCTTAAAAGTAAAGAGATTACAATTTTGCGTATTTCCCATTAATTTCCAATGGCAGTCATTTTTGACCGCGAACAACTCAAGTGTGACTATTTTTTACGACCATTTTGCTTTTTAGAATCAAGTCCACGGATTTTATTAATTAATTAATTAATTTGTTTATTTATTTTATTTTATTTATTTTATTTATTTTATTTATTTTATTTATTTTTATTTTTATTTTTATTTTTATTTTTATTTTTATCCGAGTTTCGGATGGTGTAGCGATTTTTAAAAAATCAAAACATATTTTTTTTCGGTCTAAAATGACCGAACAATACCAGAGAGTTAATTTAATTTTGGCAATTACAAAAATGCACTAATTTGTTTACCTGTCTCTCATAGTGAATTTCAAAGTAAGATTTACGTTTCAACTATTCTCTTTTTAAGAAAACATTTGGTTACTTCTTATGAAACGATACTAGATTCCATCGACAAGCAATTTGACAGTTTACACACGGTCACAAAAACACAGTCAGTACAGTGCACGCCCTATTCGTCCACGATGATTAATATACATAAGCAGCGGCACTTCTGTCCAATGATATGTCAGTGTGGGCGGAGCTACCCGGGCCTGTCGTTTAAATAAAGGCGTCTTTACAGTCGTGGGATCAAGGTTTGGTTGGTTAGGCTCTGCATTTAACACCCACTGATGATTTAATTAAAAATATATGGGGCAAAAATGTCATTATGGCCTTTAATAGACGTTTCACCAGTACTCTTTAGGTTAATTGCGACTTTATATGTCACAACTGCGACAACGTTTCTAATTACGACTTTTTAAAAAAAAGTGTTTTGTGTAACTTTTTATTCTGGCCTGCAATTGTAACTTTATAGCTTAAAAATTATCTCAAAATCTGACTTTATTTCTTATTTTAAACTTATCTATGAGGCTACTTTCTTATTTTTTTACTAGGCTTTCAAACTGATTACAAAATAAACTCAAACAGCTCTAGGGAAGAGGTTAAGAATTTTTTTGTGCTGGATACCTTGATGCTATTTTTGTGCAAGTATGTTGTTTTGTAGGTATGCTGTCAATTTGACAGATGTGTTGTTGTTGTTTTTTTTAATCTGTAGAAAATGTCCAGCAGGGGGACACAAAACACAAAACATACATGCATTGTAGCTGCTATATTTGACAATGCCAACACCCAAAATGATTAAAAATAATATCAATATTGAAAGATAAAATTCAAAGGTCATGTTCATAACTCCTAGTATGTCTATAATGTTCTGCGTTATTTATCATAAACATTTCAAATAAAAGTTATATCCTATACTACTACTACTACCACCACCACTAATAAGAATGTAATGGGAGTAATAAGAAATTAACAAAGTAACATGAAAACAGGAAAATATAGACTACAGGAATTTTACAAACATATCGTTATGCAAATAACAGACACAAACCACCTTTCCAGAGACATGAACAGGAAAGTGTCAAAGAAAATGATCAATAATTTATTGTGTAACAAGTGAAACATACAAATGAAAGATATGAAAGATTTTCAGTCTTAAAATAAAGGCAATCACAAAAAAGCAAACATGCGAAGCAATACACATTTCTTACTTTTCTTTTTGCACTTTACATATTGCTTAAATTAAATTCAATTCTGGTGACAAAAAGTGTTTTTTCCCCCAAGCCATTGTATGCATTTCTGTATTGTTTTAATAAGCTTTATAAGACAAAAACGTTGTATGTTGTTATTTGTATATTGAGTACATTCAATAGTCACATCTATCCAACTATGTCAAACACTAATTTAGTTGATCACACTTTTCATGATATTGATGATGCCGATTAGAAACTGGGTAACAGCCATTAAAGATACACAACAAAACGGACATTGCATTTAGTAGAAAAAGAAAACTTAAATATCCTTGCGTTTCATCACAAATTACATCAGGAACAGACAGAAAAATCATCATTATTATAATAAGCATCTTACAGTATGCAATATAAAAGTGATTCAGTTAGTGAGATATATTAATAAACATATCTGCCTTTCAGTGTGTCAGGATTCTTATTTACACACCAGCATAGCTGCTTCTAAACACATTACAAATTCCTGGCACCAATAAGAGTGATTTGTAGATTTCGTGCCTTCATCTCTCGTGACATCTGACACCAAACACAAGCTCTGCAGAATGTGGCCACCAAGCAGTCATGACACATGTCACCCTGCAAATCAACACAAAAATATTTTGGCTATACTACATCAGTATGAAACTCATTTTGTAGTTACATTTCTGACAAATTGCTACAATTAAAATAAAAATGATAATATAAGATGTCATAAATTTAATATAATAAAACAGTAATATTGTGCAATACTGTTACAATTAAAAATAACTATTTTCTATTCTGCTGTAATATAAAATATAATTATCC